TCTATAAAAAAAATAAAAAAAATGCTTGCCAAGGTCGTCAATCATCTACTGTGCTTATTGGCGTTCGGAATGTTGACCTTGGCAACACGCAAACTGGTTCTGCTCACCCTGTCCATCGCATCTTCGCCCGTTTTGGTTTACCAAATTACATGATATTCTTGTCAGTGCAAGAGGAAAAGAAATAAAGATGCACTCGCCTACAGTGTGGCTGGAGAACAAAGGTTCAGCAATGCATATCGTACGTGACCTCTATGCATACAGCAAGTACATTGTGACGTACAACCAGTTTTCAGGGGATTCCATCCCGCGACAGCGCGTCCGCTACAGCGCAAGGCATTTCAGCGCGAGGTAGTGTCAGCGCGAAGCACTTCAGCGCGAGGTAATGTCAGCGCAAGGCACTTCAGCGCGATGTACTGTCAGCGCGATTTAACGTCAGCGCCAGGCACTTCAGTGCGATGTACTGTCAGCGCGAGGTAACATCAGCGCAAGGTCAGCGCGAGGTAACGTTAGCGCCAGGCACTTCAGCGCGATGTACTGTCAGCGCGAGGTAACGTCAGCGCAAGGCACTTCAGTGCGATGTACTGTCAGCGCGAGGTAACGTCAGCGCCAGGCACTTCAGTGCGATGTACTGTCAGCGCGAGGTAACGTCAGCGCCAGGCACTTCAGCGCGATGTACTGTCAGCGCGAGGTAACGTCAGGGCAGGGCACTTCAGTGCGATGTACTGTCAGCGCGAGGTAACGTCAGCGCAAGGCACTTCAGTGCGATGAACTGTCAGCGCGAGGTAACGTTAGCGCCAGGCACTTCAGCGCGATGTACTGTCAGCGCGAGGTAACGTCAGGGCAGGGCACTTCAGTGCGATGTACTGTCAGCGCGAGGTAACGTCAGCGCAAGGCACTTCAGTGCGATGAACTGTCAGCGCGAGGTAACGTTAGCGCCAGGCACTTCAGTGCGATGTACTGTCAGCGCGAGGTAACGTCAGGGCCAGGCACTTCAGTGCGATTTACTGTCAGCGCGAGGTAACGTCAGCGCCAGGCACTTCAGCGCGATGTACTGTCAGCGCGAGGTAACGTCAGGGCAGGGCACTTCAGTGCGATGTACTGTCAGCGCGAGGTAACGTCAGCGCAAGGCACTTCAGTGCGATGAACTGTCAGCGCGAGGTAACGTTAGCGCCAGGCACTTCAGCGCGATGTACTGTCAGCGCGAGGTAACGTCAGGGCAGGGCACTTCAGTGCGATGTACTGTCAGCGCGAGGTAACGTCAGCGCAAGGCACTTCAGTGCGATGAACTGTCAGCGCGAGGTAACGTTAGCGCCAGGCACTTCAGTGCGATGTACTGTCAGCGCGAGGTAACGTCAGGGCCAGGCACTTCAGTGCGATTTACTGTCAGCGCGAGGTAGCGTCAGCGCAAGGCACTTCAGTGCGATGTCACTGTCAGCGCGAGGTAACGTCAGCGCAAGGCACTTCAGTGCGATGTACTGTCAGCGCGAGGTAACGTCAGCGCCAGGCACTTCAGTGCGATGTACTGTCAGCACGAGGTAACGTCAGCGCCAGGCACTTCAGCGCATATACTGTAATTTCAGAAATTTTCTGTGTACTTTTATTTTCGGTTCTTTCGGTGCATCTGTTCCATACCAAAAATTTCAATAAACCGAACAAACACTAACACGCATAATCCAATACGGAACTGCTTCTCTGTACCTAAATTTTTTGTTCACCTAACCTAGCCTTTTGGCCTCATACCGAAAATATTGAGCACCTAAAATTTCTGAAATTAGAGTATGTCAGCGCGAAGCACTTTCGCGCGTACTATAGTGCAGTCCATGAACCAGTCTCGATATTCGGAGAGGAGTCTGAGGCAGGCATCAGTTGCGAAAATTTACGAACCCTCCTTGCCAAAGTACAGCGTATTCTTCACCATGAACCTGTTCTGTCCAATCACGGTGAAAAGAGGAGGAAGCTCCTCCAAATCTGCAACTTCCTGGGGTAGAGGCGGATAGGCTTCCTCCGCGCACGGTACAGCGAACTTTGGTATTGCGAATTCAAATAAAAAGAACAACACCAACAACTTGCAGATGACACCGCTCTGATTTCCATAGCGAGAACTCTTCAAGACTGCACCCGAAACCTACAACAGAGTGTCACAGCAGCTGGAGACTGGCTTCAAAGATGGCACCTGCTGGTTAACACAAAGAAAACAGTCATCCTCCCGTTCTCCCACAATAACCGCCCCCCTGAACAGCTACCCCAGATCACCCTCAGGAATAGTCCACTTACCGTAGCACAAAAACACAAACACCTCGGAATAATCTTTCAGCATGACCTCCGTTGGACGGAGCATGTTGAATACATAGTCAAAAAATCACTCAAGTCTTTCAATATTCTTTTTAGACTAAGGTCTACACTTACCAGTGATTCTTTACCTCACATCTATCAGACATACATACTACCTATATTCTCATATGCGAGCAATGCTCTCACACCGTTGTCACACACTTCCCTTGACAGGCTAGAACGACTCCAGCGGAAAGCCGCCAGAATATGTCTCCACCTTCCCCTTTACACACACTTAGAACACTCCCACCTTTTGCATCGCATCAAATGACCAACATTATTTTCACGCTTTAAATTTAAACATATACTCTTCGCGCATTCTCTGCGCCACAATTATGCCCCACCACATATACTCTCGCTGCATACTGCTAGCAACGTGCAACCTTCGTATAATTTACGTCGCTCTCGTACTTGGCACTTGCCAACTCCGCTGACTGACCGCTGTCTCCATTCTCCCCTGTACAAGGCCCTTCATTACTTTAATTGCTTGCCCACCCAGCTTTGCGAAATCCCTTCTCGTTCTCCCTTCAAATCCGAGATATCCATGCTGTTGCACAACTCTGTATGCTCGTGTAGCGACCACCCCTGCCCGTACACTTAAGTACACAACTCTGTATGGTCGTGTGGCGACCACCCCGGCCCGTACACTTCAGTAGTCATTAACCTCTAGGCCCTGCCCGCCCAATTCTTCCTCACTCTTTCTCCTTTCTTACACTATTATCTCTTATTGGCCACTGGCTATCGTGAGAATAAAGATTTGAAACTTTTCACTGACGATATGATCGGCAATTCGGGTACAGCGACTTGATCATAAATCTCTGTCACTGGCCGCGATGTTGACTTCGCCAAAGTTTTCATTGATGAAACCGCTTTCCTCGTAACACAGTCATTGGCATTGGGAGCGTGGGTGTGCTGTGCGGCACCTCTTGGTTGGGGTACACCATCCAAGCCCATCGTCTCCTTTCTCACAGTACACGCATGGTCAATGCACCGCCAATACTATCGTTCGCCGCCAGCAGCACCCTTATCAAGGCGATAAGTGCAACCATCTTGGCAGAATGGCGGCTTGCCCTTGGCTGTCTCAAATCGGTTCCATTCCATTTTTGAGAGTTAGGTTGCATAGGGAAATTGAGGAAAATTATGGCCTATCCCCGAAAATACTGTGTCTTTTATAGGGCGACTGGTGTACATGGCAGTGGTAATACCCCATACAAGTTGTCAATAGTCATTGATAGTCACTAATAGTCACTAATTGGTGCCCGTACGTACATTAACATGTACGGCGCTGAAGTGGCTCCCGCGAAAAAAATCTGCGCTGAAGAAATTGGCGCTGACATGTCCTGCGCTTTAAAATTTCACGCTGAAATCATTGGCGCTCTCAAGACGCGGCGCTGAAATGGCTCCGAGCTGAAATGCCCCGCGCTAAGGCGGTCGCGCTGAAGTGCACCGCGCTAACATGGACGCGCTGTCGCGGGAGGTTACCTTTCAGGGCCGCCCCCATTTTGCTTGTTTTGAATACAGGCCGCGGCGGCTGCTCAAGGAAAAACGTTATTCGCCAGTTGTTTGTTGTGCCTGCCCGCCTCAGACATTTTTTCCCACCCTCTCACACCGTTTAAATGGCAGGAG